TCACCGACTATCAAAAAACGTCAGAAACACTAAATTTTAAGGAAGAAATGGCAGAAGGAAGCTGTGTCCAGGCTTTTTTTAAAAATTGAAAATGGGCGTGGTGTCGCCCACTTATGGACCAAAAACCATATCTCAGGAACTACTCAACCGATTTCAATGAAATTCGGTGTATAATATTTTCTTAACACCCTGATGACATATACGAAATATCGGTGAAATCGGTTAACAACCACGCCTTCTTCCTATATAAGGCTATTTTGAATTCCATCTCTATAATATTATATATACATTAGGAACCAATGTTGACAGCGGAATAAAACTTTACGCAAATAGGGTATTTGAGCTGAGGTATCCCTTGTGGAAAAATTGTCGTGATCGGACTATAACTTTTCAAGGTCTCTGATATCGAACACGAAGAACTCAGTGCCTAACCTAACCTAACCTAATTTTTCACCGAAAATATCGGTAAATCTCTCTCGGTACTTTTATGTAATTCAGAAGGCATCATTTTTATACTCTCGCAATAAAGTTGCTAATAATGGTATATATCGTCAGATATATGGTTACATATACCAAAGTGATCAGGGTGACGAGTAGAGTTGAAATACGTCCGTGCAAACTGTAACTTGAGTAAAAATTGAGATATCTTGATGAAACTTGTCATGCGAGAGTATAAAATGTTCGGTGACACCCGAACTTAGCCCTTCCTTGCTTGTTTCCTTTTTTGTCATACTTTTACCTACGCTCATACGCATACCACATACATCCATTCTATTTTGCACGAGCGTTGAGAAAGTATTGTTCAATTTTGACCAAAATACAATGAACTGAGTTGTGCTGTTTTGAAAGGTTTCGAAACATTTATTAATTAAACTGCAAGTGTTGGAARAGGCAAAAGGCCACAGAGAGAGCAGAGTATGAAAGCGAAAAATGCCCAAAAGGAGCAGCGTTCAGCTCAGCTTGACTGCAACATGCAGCAGCTACATTTATCAGGGGTTGCAGCAAAAGTAAAGTTTTTAATTAACAAAAAACAAATTAAGAAAAAATAAATGAAAAACAAAACGGAGTAAGAAAAACCAAATCGAAGTGAAAATTATAATGCAGCGGTAAATGTTGGGGAAAAATTGCAAAAGTTAATGCAAGTGCAACATCGAGATAAGCAGAGAAAAGCTACAAAAGGTCCGGGAAGAAAAGGAAAACTTTGCGGAAGCAGGAATAGCGGAGACATAGATTTTGAGGAGAGGAAAATGGAAGGTGCATAAGAGTGTATTTAGTGTAGTCTCAAAGCAATAGCTTACAGCTTATGTGTTGAACACAATGCTAGCGACAGACTGGAAACGACATCTGTCAAATATTAAAATACACACGTTCTTATGGACAGACCTATTTTGACAGCTGCACGACTACACGCCTGCAGGCCGACAGCTGTCGTTCTCGCTAATTTCAATTTGATCCTATATTTGCCAACGACAGTAGGACGACAGTAGAGTTGACAGTAGAATGGAAGATAGAGAGGTGAGGTAGAGCGGTGATGCCACAAATATGTAAAATTACTATAACAAACCTGACGTTAGTTTACAAATAAAAGCATAAAATAGCTCTATTACATCATTCATAAAAACAATTGATAATTTAAAACAAATAAATTTACCTATTCACTTATTTTTTGCTTAAAAATATCACTCCGAACAAAATATTAAAATTTCATTGAAGTGCAAGGTATTAGTATGGCCACAACGAAATTGTGTGCTGCTGCAGTCTGTGCCGAGCATTGTGTTCAACACATTATGGAACGAAAACTGAGCAGGGACGCACAGCATTTTTCAAAATGTGACTTGGTAAGTGAAAATATGCAGTGCCATCAAATATGGGCCACGTGCTGCAATCGATAAACTGATGTCAATTAAAAAACTAACCACTAAGAAAAAATCATCGATTTAGATCAATTAAGATCATTTATTAGGATATTGTAAAAAAAAAAAAAATTAAATACCATCGAAATGTGTGCACTTCAGCTAGAGCATTCTTCGCTGCGGTAGTAATGGATATTTGGATTGATTATTGCTACTGTCATTTTCTGTTATTAATTACAAAAAAATAGTGTTGTTGTAATGCTAATGATGTACACTAGTTTGCATCAGTCACTCGTTTGGCTACGATGTTTTTCAACTAAGTTTTTCGCTTTTTGTCTTCGCATAATGAGTTTTGTGTCCTTGTATTCATGTATGTGGTACAGTTTTCAATAATTTTACTGAACTTCTATTATTTTAATACTGAATTCGGTAYTTTCGTTTAAACTTCTTGTTGTTTCGCTGGCGTATAAGTGTTGGTCTCCTGTGCTGGCTTGGCAAGTATCATGCGATTCATGACCAAGTAGAGCGCACCGCCAAGTATGAGTTCGCCAATACCTATGAGGACGGCCAGCAGCCAGCCGGGTATAGCCATACCAGCTAAAAAGTAAAAAAATGTTCATGTCAGTGAAATTATATGACAGAATTAAGGGT